AATAATGGTAATAGTAGTAGTAGTAGTAGCTTTGAATAACAATAACAACATCAATAAAGATAAGAACAATAACAATACCAAAACGGACAACAGCAGCATAAGAGTGATGCATCCAAGCCTACGACGGGAGACCAGCCGGAGGACGACGCGTAGGCTGAAGATAGCAGTGGCGGTGCCGGCAGTGATGATGCCCCAAACTTAAACCCCAAGACAGCAGCCGGTGATGGAGTTCGACGGAAGAAGGATAAAGATGGAACAGGGTTTAGGGTTCAGGCTTTAGGGTTTAGGGTTCAGGGTTTAGGGTTCAGGCTTTAGGGTTTAGGGTTCAACCTTTAGGGTTCAGGGTTTAGGGTTTAAGGTTTAAGGTTTGGAGGTCGAGTGGTGTGAGGGTTCAATACTTGCCCGCGTGGAGCTTAAACAGAAACGAAGTTGAATCAAAAAGGACCCTAAACCCTAAACCCTAAACCCTAAACCCTAAACCCTAAACCCAGTTGAATCAAAAAGGACCTGAACGAAGCCTGGAGACCTAGGTCCTGCCTATGTCACCAGCTGGCAGCCGCCGACCTAAGCCGGGCTTCATGTGGGTAGTTCTTCAAATTAGGGTCCCTTTTAAGGGTCCCTATTAGGGTTTAGGGTTTGGGGTTTAGGGTTTGGGGTTTAGGGGTTTAGGGGTTTAGGGTTTAGGGTTTAGGGTTTAGGGTTTAGGGTCCCTTTTAAGGGTCCCTATTAGAAGGGTGCCGTACTATATTGGGGACCTAAAACGGGACACTACTTTACAGAGCCACCCATGTGAGGAGCACAGACCGATGGAAATCCGAAGAGACCGAGTTGGCGGCTCGGCGTGGCGACAGGCTCCAGCATCGCCACGTCCACTGCGTTTGGATCTACGCTAACCTTGGTTGGCCCCTTCAAGCCTTGGAAAAAGATTCGTGCATTAAGATCCTCTGCGCCCCAAGAAGGGAAAACAAGCCTTAATCCTAAACCCCTAAACCCCTAACCCCTAACCTCTAAACCCTAAACCCTACACCCTAAGGGGAAATATGAAAAACGTCTGAAAAGGCCTAGTAGCAACGGACTCGGGCCTCGGAGTGCGGTTCGCCACTGGCTCGGGTCTCGGAGTGCGCTGGGCACGGTCCCAATTCATGATGGGAGGTACCTCAGGGCGAAATTTTCGAAATAGCTTAAACCCTAAACCCTAAACCCTAAACCCATGTTCTATTATGGCATATTACATTATATCATGCTCCACTCTACTATGTTACGAGCCATAAGCAAAAAGGCTTTCTGCTACTGCTCCTACGCCGGCCTGCGGGCCTTCCCAATACCTGGCATGGCGAGGCTTGCAAAACAAGGCGGTTTAGGGTTTAGGGTTTTAGGGCTTTTAGGGTTTAGGGTTTAGGGTTTAGGGTTTAGGCTTTAAGGTTTAGGGTTGAGGGTTTTTAGGGCTTAGGGTTTAGGGTGTAGGGTCCCCCCCCTTCTCGGTCTTGTTGCCCCTAGTATAGGGGCCATTAAGAATTAATATAGGGTTTGGGGGTATATTAAACTGTAAACATAATAAGGAACCCCCAGAATAATCTAGGTAATTTTTTGAATTAACCAGTTATATATTATATATGAAGAATTTTATAAGGTATCCCCAAGAAGGAACTAGTATGGAGACTATAGGTAATCATTAATTATCTAGATTATTTGGGGTTCCTTATTTCATTTACAGTTGAATATACCCCCAAACCCTATTTTAATTCTTAATGGCCCCTATACTAGGGGCAGCAAGACCGAGAAGGAGGGGGGGACCCTAAACCCTAAACCC